AAGTCTGACTGTTAAGAATATCAGAATCTTAGTATTTAGTAGCTTATCTTGCTTTGACTTTTAATCCAGCTGTGGAAAAATTCAGAATATCCAGGGTTTTTTTTGACATTTTTGACAGTTTTGAAGCAACTATTAATTAATTACTCATGCAGTCTTTCCTCTTAGAACCTAATACTAGAAAAATTTGTCTGTCTTTTAGTTTTCTTGAAAACCATACTGTAAATTTAAGTTTGGACAAATTAGTAAGTTTACATTTTTTAGGACAAATACACGTTGCTTGATTCTACAATCGATGCCAATGGAAGCAGCAGTCAGGACATGTGTAGCATTGGGAAGGTTAACCGCAAAGGAACTTCTTTCATAGTAGCACCGTTGTATTATAAGTGCCTACTGTGTATTTTATGGTTAAAAGAAGGAAAGGGAAATACCAGAATTTGAGATGCTATCACTGTGTAATACAAAATACCTGCAATCCTTACAGAAACAGTAGAAGACAGACACAGAGTAATCCCTCCAGACACCCAGACACTATGGGAGAGAGATCCAATGGATCTACCATCTCAGGACCATAGTACTGGGGGACACCAGACTCAATTGGCACAACAAAATACATAAAAGCCTTGTTTCTTATCCTACATTGGTGAGTAGCGACTGGGGTCTTAAAAGCTTTCAAGTGGCCATCTAAGATGCACCTAATGGTCTCCTAGCGTCAGAAGCGAAGAAGAGTGCAAAAAAATAAGGGCATTTGGAAGCAGTCAGCCCTAGGACATGATGGCACTTGAGGCTGGAAGAACTAGATGGTGCCTGGCTACCAAGGCCAACCACTCAAGAACAGATTAAAGAGGGAGATCCTGCATAGAGTGGGAGGAAAACATGGAACAAAATTCCAAAACTCAATAATGACCAGAATTAGTGGTCGGATGGAGTCTGGTTAGACTCCCAGTACTATGGCCCTGGAATACATTCTGCACCTGGAATAAAACTCACCATTAGGGCCTGGCTCTCAGCCCAATAGTTAACAAGATGTACATTCAGACCACCCAGCCCAGGGTGATGCACCCACATACTCTATGGAAATACTTTGGAGCAATAGACCAAAGGCACCAAGAGGGGCAACATTCACACAGAGGTAATGAAGGACAAACAGGATTGCATAAATATGAGGGCCATAGGGGGAGGGTTACTGGGCAGGGAAGAGAGGAGACTGGGTTAAGGTTGGGCATGGTAAATGGGGAGTGAAACTAAATGTACACATAACCTTAAATGTAAAAGAAACCCTTAAAAAAAAAAATCTGCTGCACCAGAGGTGGGCACCAGTTCACAAGATTCCACTCTCTCAGATCAGGAATTGTACAACTCCATCCATTTCTGGAGGACTCCTCTTCCTGAAATAGATATAGACATAGAGCTTGAACAGAACTCTGGGGATAAACTTGGCCCAGAAAGATCAGAAGAAACTCCTGAAGTTACCATGCCATGTTCTCCAAATATTACCATGGCCACCATAAAAACATAAAAAGTATGTTTTTGAGAACAATGTCAGTGATATGATGAAATAAAGTCTACTCAGAGGAAGCTTAATAACTTTATAACAATCTAGATGGTGACTCTTTAACTGGAATATTACATAAGTATAAATGTAGCCCTCCTTCCCCCCCCCTCCATAGGTCTGTTAATCCTTTTGTTTGATATCTTTTATTGTGTGTTTTTAAAGGAACACGGTGTTTAAAGGCAGCGCCCTTAAATTTTTTTTTCCAAACTCACCATACACATTTACTGTGGTAGTTCAGTTTGTATGTCAACTTGGCTGGGTGGGCCTGGTTGAGTGGCTGGGCAGCTGGATGTAGTATTCCCCATGAGACTGGTAATCAACTCCATGGTAGAATCTGCTGTGAGCAGCTGAGTAGCTGCCTTAGGGAATGTGGTCTGCTTCCTGTATATAAGAGGAAACCTTGGGGAATAGTCTCTAGTTTATGGCACGCTTGGACCCTGCATGTAGCCCTGTTAATGTTCAGCGGCCTGCCATGCTCTGCTGACCTTGGGACTTATAACGGACTGACATTAAGGGCCTGCCATGTGGTTTGGTAACATCGGGACTGTGCCTTTTTGTTTGTCAACTTTGGGGCTTCTAAGCCTCAGCAGCCAGTAGCTGTCTGAGTGAAGAAAAGCCTCTAGCTCCAGTGAGGTGGGAGCAAGAGGCAGAGCTGGACCCAAGGTTGAAGGGCTTTCACCCAGCCCCTAGAGCCTGGCACTTTGAACTTGGACTTAAAACTTCCAAATTGTAAGAATAAACTCCTGTTTGTTAAGGCCATCCCATTTGTGGTATATATTCTTGTCAGAGTGGCACTAGGTAACCAGAACATTTACCTACATATTCACCCACCCTTTATTTCCCTTTTATGTTCTAGAGGTGTCTGTTTAAGCTGTTTACCTGTGCTCTTAAACCTGTTGAATCTGTTTACCTGTGCTCTTGAGCCCATGTTCATTCTTCTTCTGAGAAAGGTATTACTGTATCAGTTATTCCATTAGTGTTCTGTGTCTCCACATAATCTTTTCTAACCTCTTTTCTTTAGTCTAAGAAATAGGTTCAAGTCTCTCCAATCCTGTCACACAAGAAAAAACTTCCCTTCTTTACTGTTCTGTGCAGTCGTCATGTTCTTTCTTCACTTCTCTTGCTCACATACAACTCAGTCCCACACCACACGTGTCTCTCTAAGTTGATGATCTCCAAGTCTTTCTCCAGTTTCTGCTTCTTTCCTTGGTGTCTGACTAGTGTTCCGTAGACATTACCACCTAGAATTCATCATGCCCAACTCAGCTTGTCCCAAGCCGAACTCACTAGCTTTCTTATGAAAACTGTTGTTGCATTTTTCTTATTTAGTTGATGTGTTTTCACTACCTGTTTCCAGCTGTCTTAGTCAGAAACCTGGAAATCTTTCTGAATTTTTCCCTTTCTTTTTCATCTCCAAAATGTAATAAATGAACAAATCTATTGATTTTGTCATTTGAATATGTCTACTCCTTCGACAGCGCCAAAGACACTGCCTTAGTTGGGAACGTAGTCATAATCTTTCACCTGGACTTCTTAATTCCTTCCTCCTGTCTTCCCTTTGATATATTTTCTGTACTGCTTCCAAAATAGTCTTGCAGAGACAACCTGGCTAATCATGTAATTCCCTTAATTCCTATGTTTTTTCATATAATTAGTCCATAGAATAAATCCCAGAGTTCTGTAGCATGGGATACAGTGGTTCCTGTGAGATTTTTCATCCTTGCTTCCATCATTTCCTTTTCTTAGCCATAGTAAATTCATTGCTGTTTTCTTTATTACCCTTCCTCCCTCCCTCCCTTCCTGTTTTCTGAATCTGCTATACTTTTTTTTCTCTCTTGCTTTTGCATATATAGCTTTCTTTTTAAAATACTTTTTCTTTCTCTTAGCCTCATAAGCATTTGTTATTTCAGTTCTTCTAAATATAAGTCAAGTGCCATTTCCACAAAAGTCTTTTATTATAGCTCCCATCCCCTCCTCCTGTGTTCAGTGTGTCTACACTGTACCGCCTGCATAGTTCTGGACTTGCTGTGCTGTCTGGCCTTCATCTTCTTCCACATTCATTTCCCCAGTTTGCCTGTAACCTCAAAAGCAAAGTCTACATCTCATTCTCCTTTGAATGCTGAACAGCAGTTTCATTTCCTGGTCCCTAGTAGGTGCTCAAAAAATGTTCTGGTAAATTTGAAATAAGTAACATATATAATGCAAACAGTAAAACTTACTGTATTGCTTTAATTTCAGTTAATGGCGGTAGTCAGTGAAATTTAATTTAGGAACTTGTATCATACATCCTAGGAGCTCTGGTAGCATAGTGGCTAAGGCACTTGACTGCTAACCAGAAGGCTGGCGGTTCAAACCCACCAGCCACTCTTCGGAAGGAGGATGGGGCAATCTACTTCTGTAGTGATACTGCCTTGGAAACTCAAGGAGGGGTCGCTATGGGTCAGGTCCAACTCGACGGCACATAACAACAACAACATAAAAACAGGTGTTTTAATTCTTGGTTCTTGAATGTACCAGAGGAGCAGAATGATAATACAAATAACCCTGAAAATCAGACAGTTTTAAGTTGTATCTATCTTAAAGTGCTTTGTAGAAATTTGTCTTTCTACAGTTTTGCATTAGTTGTTGTTTATTGAAATTAAAATTTTGGTATTGTAGAAATTAAAATACTTACGGTATTGTAGAATCCCAGGATTTGTAAATGTTATCTTTTCCAACTGCACCCACTCCTCACTTATCGACCTGGTTATATTAGAAAGACAGGTCGTTGTGTGAAAGTCGGCGTTCTGTGAAAATGGAGGATGATCACATCAGACCACAAAATAGAGGGTGACTACATCATTATGTACATGCAAAATTTTATCATTGCATAACTGCCAAATTATGTCATTACTATATTTTTACACAAATGACATTTGTGTTACACGGTTGTTGCAAAAATCCCTCACGTTAGTATTCTGTGAGCACTTTGTGTGTTATATGCGAAAAATATAGTACATATGACTGCCAAAACATTAAGAATCATGTCCCAGCCATATAATATTAACAGTCACAGCTAGCATTGCTGTCTTCTCACACTTTGTTGTTCATTACTGCCAGCTGTATGTTGTTAATGCACAAAATGGTGCATAACTATTGTAAATATGGAGCGTCGGATAACAAGATGGTTGATAAGTAAGGAATAGGTGTAATATAGGATACTTGAATTATCTTTCAAGTATCCAGACTTAACAAGTGTTTACATCTCTGAACGTAGAACAACTGATAGAAAAAGAAGTATTATAGGTAATATAGCTGAAACTATGCAATCTGTGTGGATAATCTTATTTTTCATAGTTAACTTTTCTAAATGCTGTATGTAGAATCTTTCATTGCTTTTTTTTCCCTAGTAATTTTTATACTTTCATGGTGTTGTGTTTTTTTCCCCCCCAAAATAAAACAACAAAAGAATCAGTGATGGAGAAGTCCTAGAGGATGCACAGACCTGCCCAGGAACTACACATTCAGATCTAAGTGTCAGCAATTCCAGTGTCAAACTGCAAAACACAATGGAGGAGCATAATGAAACCACTAGGAGGTCTCCAGGTGAAATACATGTTCCTGTGGACAGCTCCTTACTTTGTAGTTTGTCCTCAGAACCTCCTCAGGACGGAGCTAGTAATGTGAATGATAAAAAGCCTGGTAGCCACAAATCTCTACTGCGGCCAGAGGTGGACACCAATTCACAAGATTCCACTCTCTCAGATCAGGAATTGTACAACTCCTTCCATTTCTGGAGGACTCCTCTTCCTGAAATAGATATAGACATAGAGCTTGAACAGGACTCTGGGGATAAACTTGGCCCAGAAAGATCAGAAGAAACTCCTGAAGTTACCATGCCATGTTCTCCAAATATTACCATGGCCACCAGAAAGGAACTTGAAGAAATGATAGAAAATCTAGAGCCCCATATTGATGATCCAGATGTTAAAGGTATGAAAAACTCAACCAGCTTCATTATTTGTTTAAAAATTGGTATCAAATGTTATTTTCTGAACTTTTTTTTTTCCCCCTGGGGGGTGGGGGGAATGCTTCTTTAAAAATGTATGATGACTGTAGTCATCATGTAAAGGAGCTCTGGTGATGTAGTGGTTAAGGCATTTGGTTGTTAACCAAAAGGTTGCTGGTTTGAACCCACCAGCTGCTCTGTGGAAGAAAGATAAGACAGTCTGTCTCTGTAAAGATTTGCACCCTTGGAAACCCAGTGAGGGTTGCTATGAGTCAGAATCGACTCAATGGCACTGAGTATGGTAGTTGTCATGCAGGGAGCTCTGATGGTGTAGTGGGTAAAGGATTTGGCTGCTAAACAAAAGTTTAGCGTGAGCGAGAGAAAGATGAGGCAGCCTACTTCCATAAAGACTTACAGTCTTGGAAACTTTATGGGGCAGTTCTGCTCTGTCCTGTAGGGTCACTATGAGTCAGAATAGACTCCATGGCGGTGAGGTCATAGTCCTCGTGTATTCTAATATTCACTTGATAAATATGACTGATCAGATTTTTAAGAAATCTTGTTTAAAATAGGTTCATCATTGCACTAACTGTGATGGTTATAGATTTATTGATTCACAGATCACACTCTGAAATTTTCAAAATATTTTAAACTGTTGTATATTTATCATTTGAAATCTTGAGTCCTGCCTTAATGAATTATGCTGCTTTGTATTTCATTAGCTTTTTTTTAATAAAGTAGCAGCAAATGCAGTGTTATTAGGAATAATTACTGTCAAAACAATGGGCAGAGATGTCTATTTTCTATAGAATATATGATGTTATAAGAGCTGTGGACTTTGAAAAGAATCCTTTTGATTTGTCTCTCAGTTTTGATTTTTTTCTAATGGATTACATGCATATCACCCAGATTCCTTCATTGTGAGGAACAGCCTTAATAGTTGTTCTATCTTAAAATGTTACTTCTTATTGAAATAGATATGTATTCTAAGTAAATCAGTGTGAGTGATTGAGATATGTTAAAACAATCTCCATTCTTCTTGCTGGGACTTGGGAAGTAATATAAAGTCATCGGGGGCTAGAAACTGATAAAGGAGTTCTTTCTGTTCCTTTGAAGACTTCTGTCTCTTTGGGAAAGGCCTTCCTGATGACTTCCTGATGATAATACAATCATTAAATGAAATTTGAAATGTTAGTTAAAACAAAAAAAATTTTTTAAAGATCCTGTAACTACAAACAAATCATTAGATCTGTGTCACTTTGTGGATTTGTTATTGTCATTAAAAAGCTAAAATTTCTAAATTAATCAATTTGCACAGTGTCAGGAAATACTCACTTCCAAATCAAATAAAGGATATCCCTAGTATCCTTGTAAAACATAAAAAGCTTTGTTATGTTCAGACTTTAAAAATTTCTTCAATGTTAAGTTAGCAGTTATATTTTCTTTTTTACCTAATTATGATTTGGGTGAAAATTTACAGAGCAAATGTATTTTTCATTCAGCAGTTAATGCACATTTTGTTTCATGACATTGATTGCAATCTCCGTAATTTAACAACTCTCTTCCTACTTACCCTGTGGTTACCTTTTCCCTGTGTGCTTCTTTGCTATGCCTTCCTGTCCTCTGAGCCATCTCCCTGTGCAAACACTCCCTTCTGGTCTCCCATGGTTGCTTGTTCTAAGGAATCTACCTACTTGGTGTAATTGTTCACCTTGTAGGCCTGTCTGTTCTTTGGCTGGAAGCCATGGGAGTAAGTTCAATTCCAGGCCCAAAGGGTGACTAGGGTGATAACCTTAGGGGTTTCACCGGTCTCTGTTAGACCAGTAAGCCTGGTCTTTTTTTATGATTTTGAATTTTGTTGTACATTTTTCTCCCACTTTATCAAGGATCTCCTATTTTGATTCTTTCCAACTGGTTGACAGTGGTAGTCAGGTACCATCTAGTTCTTCTTGGTCTCAGGATCATGTAGACTGAAGTGGTCATGTTCACATGGGCACTAGTCCCTTGGACTAATTGTTTCCATATATCTTTTCCATATATCTTTTCCATATATCTTTTATTACTTATTATTTAATTGTTTCCATATATCTTTTATTACTTTCATTCTTCACTCTGGACAAAGAGAGGCCAATTGTTGCATCTTAGATGGCCACCTGCAAGTTTTAAGACTCCAGTTGAAGTTAGCAGATTCTTTTACTTGGCTTAGTTTTGTTGTGATTTTTAGAGATTTCCTATTACAAAATGTACTTAGAGAAAAATTAAATGATTTGATTAAAGTCAAATTCATTTCTTTGATTGCTGGAAGATATTTTAATTTAACTGGCAGTTGGTCAGGTTTTTTTGTGGGTTTTTTTTTTTTTTTTAATAGTTTATTGGAGTATAGTATCTGTTAAGTAAAACTCAGCTTTTTGAATGGGCAGTTGTATAAGATTTGACCTTCATATAATTGCTATAGTGGTCAAAACATAGAATAGTTCCATCAGCCCCCAAGATTCCCTGTGTCACTTTCTAGCCAATCATTCCTCCCATACCCAACCTGAAAATAACTACTGATCTGTTTTCTGTCCTTATGATTTTGCCTTTTCCAGAAAGCCACATAAATGAAATCAAGAAGTATGGAACTTCTTTTAAAGTTGGGCACCATTGCTTAGCATAATGTATTTGAATTCCTTACTATGTATCAGAGGAGCTCTGGTAGCATAGTGCCTAAAGCACTTGACTGCTAACCGGAAGGCTGGCGGTTCAAACTCACCAGCCACTCCTCAGAAGGAAGATGGGGCAATCTACTTTCATAGTGATACTGCCTTGGAAACCCAAGGAGGGGTCGCTATGAGTCAGGTCTGACTTGATGGCACATGACAACAACAACAACAACAACAACTATATATCAGTAATTCATTCCTTTTACTTAATGTTTTCTGAAACAAGGGTAAGAACAGAGGCCAGAATATTTTCAGTAGACCAGCTCCTCTGTTTGTCACCTTTCACAGCAACCCTTTAACCCACTATTGTCAAGTAGATCAGGCCTTTCTTATGCAGCACCACTGTGTGGATTAGAACTGCCAACCTTTTTGTTAATCATCTAGCACCAGCCATTTGCGCCACAAAGGGAACCTCATCTATCATAGTAGATTATCATTATTTCTTTTTTATTTATTTATTTTTTTAAATTGTGATTTGGGTGAAAATTTACAGAGCAAATTCACTTTCCATACAGCAGTTCACATACATTTTGTCTCATGACATTGACTACAATTTACCACAATGCCAACAGCTCCCTTCCCACTTCCTCCCAATAGTTTACCTCTTCCCTGTGTCCATCCCTCCCTGCACTCCAGCCCCTTGTGCTGTCTCCCTGTGCATAAACAGCCCTTCTTTCTCCCATGATTGTTCTCTCCAAGGAGTGTATTTACCTCAGGTAAATGTTCAGTTCATATGCCTGTCTTTTGTTTGGCTGGAAGCCACCGGTGTGGGTTCAATTCCAGACCTGAAGGGCAGCTAAGGGCCATAGTCTCAGTAGTTCCACCAGACTCTATCAGACCAGCAAACCTGGTCCCCTCCATTTTTTTCCCCCAAATGATTTTGGGTTTTGTTCCACATTGTTCTCCCTCTCTATCCAGGATCTCCTACATAGATCCCCCTCCGAGTGGTTGACATTGGTAGCCAGGCACCATTGGGTTTTTCTGGTCTCATAGGTATAGGCTGCAGATGGCCTCGTGTACCAGTCACTAGGACTAATTGTTTCCATGAATCTTTGGTTTTCTTCATTATTCTTTACTCTGGACGAGGAGAGACCCATCGTTGCATCTAGATGGCTGCTTGCAAGCTTTTAAGATCCCAGTCGCTGCTCACCAAAGTAGGAGGTGGAACAGTGTTTTGTGTAGTATGTTACGCCAGTTGAGCTTACAGTAGATTATCATTATTTCTTAGGAAAACCTTACAGCTTTACTTTATTTGCTGCATTCCTTAATTGTTCCTTCTGGCATTGATTTTTGTCCCCCTTAGCCAGTATTTTACACTTTATGACAACTCGATGGTTTAGTAAATGCTGAGGTTTTTGTTTTGACTGACAAATGAGAATCTTCACTAGTATTTGTTTTTATAAGCCTCCCTCCAGTTCTTCCACTCTGCCACCCCCAAATTAGGAAAATTGAGGCACAGAAGATTATACTTGAAACAAAGGATATTAATGGTTAAGGATAGTCAAAAATGTCTTTTCAGTTTAAGTTGATCATCAATTTTAGTAGCTCAGTAGTTTTCTTTTTCTAATATGCCATTTTTATGGAGGAAAATATTGTCAACTATCCTTTGAGCCAGTTTGGGGAGCTGTCATTTTATTGTAGTATCTGCCAGTTCTCTGCACATTGTTACTGTCAAGACGCTTCTGACTCATGGTGACGCCATGTGTTACAGAGTAGAACTACTCCATAGGATTTTCTAGGCTGTAAGTTTTACAAAAGCAGATTGCCGAGCCTTTCTTCCACAGTGCAGCTGAGTGGGTTTGAACTACCGACCTTTAAGTTAGCAGCTGATTTCAAACCACTTGTATCCCAAGGGGCCTACTAGGCACTTAAATATTCATTGAAACATTGAATAAGCCACTTCACAGCTTTTTAGGACAAGTAAGCTAAAAGCAATGTGTCTATCTTGCTTTTTAAAAAGATACACATATACATAACTTTGTGTGTTAGGATATGACTTTGTCTCAGAAGGTGGCTAATACTGTTTGAGTTAAAATAATACTGTAAATTTATCAACTATAATTGAGAGATCTCCATGTGTATACAGTATTATAGTTTAATCTGTTGTATTTCAAATTCAGCCCTTACACCTGCTACAGTTTAAATTTGTCATTTTATTGAGTCTATATGGTGATACTTTCACAACATCTATTGATTGGTTTATTCATTCAGTAGTGTTTATTGAGTGTGTATTATGTGCCAGATACTATTCCTAGCTACTGACTATAACAACAGCAGCAAACCAGACAGAAATCCTAGACCCAAGGAGACAGTCGTCAATCACATAAGCTGCATATTGTGTCCTATGGCATTAAGTTCTGCAGTAAGACAGAGAGCAGGAAAGGGAAATAGGGATTATCAGGATTTGTCATAGAATTCTGCTGCATTTGATTTTATTGAAATCTGAGGTCATATTTAATTTATGTTAATTTAAATAACTGTGCCTTAATTTTTCATAATATTGAAAATGTGTTTTGAATTTTTAAAAGGCTTTGCCTTACTTTGTGTGCTTTTCATTTCTCATCCCAGCATGGTGGGTCATTTTGTTTTCCTCCGACTGCAGAAAATGTCAAACTTGTTCCAAGGCAGAGAGTTTTAATCCCAAACTGAAACTAAACTCTGCAGGTAGTAACTAAAGTCATGTTACATGTGTAAAATTTTTCCTGAAGGACAGTAAGATTGTAGGGATGGCCTTTACAGCCAGAGCTAAATCTACTAAATATACTGCCAGGATAAATCATTTTGGAGTTGAGTTTCAACATCAGCAAGCCTCTGTGTTGCGTTTTAGTCTCTGGTTCATAGATTCCAACCTCCATTGTAAATGAGTTGTAAGTTTTTCTTAAGACCTATGTTCTGATTTCAGCATTAACCAAGAGTAAGATTCCACCTTACTGTTTTCTGGCTGTAGAGTTTTAAGTGTCATGTATCAGTTTTCTGAAGCAGGTGGGTTCACAGTGTCACTAATGTAATGGTGAACATTAGCATGGACAAAATAAAGGCGAATAGCCCACCTAGAGATAAATGACTTATGTAAGGCACTGCCAAAGGCTCCAATACTTACTTCCCAGGGAAGAAGATTGGGATGTTCTCAGTATCCCATATTCACATAAACCCCAGCCATCATTTGATGCCAGACTCTAGGTAGGCAGAACTATAAAGTTTGAACAGTATTTTGAAAATACTGAAGACAAAACATTTTGATCTTTATATAACTCTCAGTTTCCTTTGAGTGCTCTGTGTGGTTTGGTTTTAGAAACTTAAAGATCCCCAGAGGAGGGGAGCTAAGTGATGAAAAAGATTAGTGCAAATTGTAACTGAAATTCTCAGAAAAATGAGATTACTTTCCTAACCTAGCAGAATGGAATCATGTCCTATATGTTTTATACCTTTGTTTCCAGGAACTGTTACTCTGATTGTTTTTCATATGGTCTTGAGTAGGATGGGTACACACTGACTGCTCTTTGTACTGAATAAATTTGAAATTAAAATGCTTATATTTTGAATATCCAGGTGGATTGTTACTAGGAGTAAATGTTGGGCTGAATTTCTTGTTTATTTGGAGGAAAGAAAGAATATTTTATCTTAACTTTTGAATCACCTTTACGAAGAAGGTGCATCACAAAATGTAGGCGTGTTGATTGCCAGGTTTAAGAACCACAGCTTGTTAAGTTGGCATATTGGTTTTGCTGCAAGCAAGACAGTGTTCATTTAGAGTGTCTGTCTTTGGGACCAATTACTAATGTTCAAAAAAGAAAAAATAAACTGGAATAAGATATGAGATGTTTAAATGTTACTGCAACAAAAATCTTTGTAATTACCATTATTTTATGTTGGCAGGGTTTGTGGGACTGCTCTTCTGCTAAAGTAGCTTAGTAAGTAAGTCTTGAAAGTTTGATTCATGCACTACCAAAACATAGTTAACTTGTACTGAAATTGACTTTTAATAAACTGGAGCTACCTCCGACAACTAGATAGCATTTCCCTTTTCATACTAACGCAGAATAATGTACAGTAGTGGATAAACATTTTTAATCTCATGAAAGCATATTAGTTTTCTACTCTTCCTCTTGAAGGACTAATGATTTACCATAGTAGAAAGTTGTTTTTTTTTTTTTTCCAGCTTTTTGTTGGCAGTGTCAAAACTGTTCATGTCAGTGATAATGCATAATGCAAATGGAGGAGAAGCTAAAGAATATTGTAGTTCTGTAGCTGAGTGGTTTTTTTTTTTTTTTTTTTTATAGCACAAGTGGAAGTGCTGTCTGCAGCACTGCGCGCCTCTCGTCTGGATGCTCACGAGGACACTGTTGGTATAGAGAAGAGAGGTGATCTGCAAGATGAACTGGGTATAAATGAGCTACCAAATATTAAAGTAAATCAAGATGATTCTGTGCCTTTAATCAGCGATGCCGTCGAGGTAACAAACTCAGTACAGTACTTATCAAACGAGCATTTTGAATCAGAAGTATGTTGTTGGGGGATAGATGTAGCTAATCACTTTCTAGTTAGTGCATACTGTGTGTTGCTGATTTTTCAGCTCTCCCTATTGCATAAAGTAAAAGTAGTTGTCACCACATCCTGCCTTAGTGACATTAGTGTCCTGTTAAATCCTTGGAAAGGTAAATCCCATTCCCGTCTACATGACCATTTTAGCAGCCTCAATGTTAATGTAGCTCACTGCAGTGAAATAGTCTTACTGGAAACAAAGCCCTTTATCAAGAATTATTAACTCTTCCCTTTTCTTTTTGGAGAGGTGCTTTGTTTCTGATCGGACCATTTCACTGCAGCAAGCAACACAGTATTCTGAGCAGAAGATCGGGACTTGAGGCCATGTTGCGGAGGGCCAGTGGCATTATCTGGACTCTGGAGTGTGAGGGTGGGTACTGTTGCTAGCATCATCTTTGATATGTACTTGTGGCTGTTCTATTTGATCCTTCTCTGGTTTCCTACTGCATCCCCATCAAGCCAGCATCATTTGATGTCAATATTCTTATTCCTTAATTACATAAATGGGAGAAGGAACACACTGATTGCCAGAATTAAATGAGCACATATCATAGTAGGTTGAATGAGAAGCTTAGGAAGGAGTGCCTACCCACATGTTGGGGATGGCAAGAGGGCTTTTCTAGTTTTAGTGTAGTTTGCTTTTTGTTAGATGACGTTTGGTATAGCTAAAAATAAGTGTGATATCGGTGCTTTAGAATGAAACCCCAACCGTTTATCGTCATTGGAGATTTCATTATTATTATATATCTGCACTTTAGAAAGCTTTGGTTTTTGTTTTGAGATTTTTGTTGTTTTCTTTCTGACCATTAAAAAATATTTGTGAAATGAGATGTTAACAGCCAAAACTAGAATCAGTAGACTAAAAAAACTGCAAATGACATTTTATGGCCTCTAATAAAGCAATGAAAAGAAACATCTGAACATTCTTTTATAAATAAGCTAATTTTAGATACTGGGACCCTTTCAAAATTACTTTTAAACTTCTAATTTCATTTTTTCTGAAATCCATTTCAAACATTTAGCAGCTTGGTCAGCAAATTTGATTTAAGGCAGGGGAAGTTCTTATGAGGTCTTAGGTATGTTTATAAACTTATAAAAACAAGCAGAATTTACATGTATTTATATTTTTAGGCAGTCTTGAAAGGTAAGTACTTTAGTGGTGGTGATGATGTGTGCCTATTAAAGTAACTTAATGTATTCTAAATGAAGAAAACTTCCAGACAGGACAAATTTTTAAGCAGATGTTTTTTCCTAACAGAATATGGACCCCACTCTTCGCTATATTCATAATGATTCAGACCTGAGCACCAATGGTAATTTTAGCCCTGATGAGGAAAGGAAATCTAAAGTACAAGTGAGTGACAAAAAAAATGTTTTATTTTTTGTGTGTGTTCTCAATTCTCCTTTTTTAAAAAGTCCATTTCCGACCTAATGATACCCTTTTTAATAACAGTTTTTAAAATATTAAAAGTAGTATATGTTATATTTTTGATAAGAAAATAGTAGAGAAACTAAAATGTAACCACAGGTTGTGGAAAACAGTGGTGCAGTGGCAGTGCCTGACCTCCTTGTCTAACTTCTCAAAGAGGAAAGAGAATCAAGGTCAGCATCAGCAGCCTATGGCTAATTGCTGTGAAGCTGAGTTCCATGTATCTCCTCTTTGCAACCTTTTTATCAATTCTTAAATCAGCCAACCCTCCTGTGGCACTCTATACTGCTCTTCTGGGTTCGATAATTTGTTGCATTGGCCAAACAGAACTCTCAGACTATACTCATAGATAACTAAAAGGTTACAATTCAAGATCAGAAATGACTCAGGATACAGGCAGTCCTGCCTCTCGAGGCAGTTTCTTGACCGTGCTCACGGGCAGGCCTTTCCCTGGCCCTCAGCCCCTTGGCCCTTTAGCTGCTCAGGCCTCTTGAGCCAGCCTGGTTACAAAGCTCTTTAGCCCCAAAGCACCCAACTCTGCCGGTAAGCCTCCTGCCCAAAGGCCCTCACGTCTCCCTCTTGTCAGTGAACCTAGCTCTTCCAATTTCCTGGAGACTCCCCAGTCTACAAGGAAGCTTCCTGCTCAAAGGCATTCAGCTTTCTTGCTCTGTGGGCCGAGAACCCCAACCCATTGTCTCCTGCTGGCCTTCTGGTTCTTCTGCCTCCGCTCCCACCGTTTTCTCTACTGCTGCTTCTCACCTCTCTCTCCTTGTCTCCAGTGTTACAACTCTGGGTCTCCTTGGTCTAGGAGGTTCTCATGCAGAGACCCAGAGTCTGGGGGATGCGTTCCACTCTCAGCTGTTTGTATTCATAGTTAGGTTGCCCTTTCCGCTTCTAGGAAATTGTTTTAAACCTAGTGGATGGCAAAACAGACCAATCTCCTTGTTAGGGTTCCATAACACCTTATTTGCATGGTTCCACCCCCTTAAATGTGCTATGCACCTTTATTAGCAAGCTGTCCAGTCCTCTTGAGTGGGTCACAGGCACCTTACCTGCATGGTCCCACCCCGTCATTTGGTGGGAGTTAGAAGAGCATGCAAGAAAGGCCATATAAATATGATCCATCACACTGCACTTGTCATCTTCCCCATGCCTGTGATCTCATTCTTCACTCAGAGTAACCACTGATCACAGTTCCTTCCTCTTATGTATTTCTTCACAAGTTTTTTGTGGGTATACAAACATATATTTATATATGTTTACACATGAACACACACACTCTTTTTTGTCATCCAAAGGCAAATAGAATCACGCCGTCCATCCTCGGTATCATGCCTGAGTTGCCAAGGATTATAACTTAAGCTCTATTTCAGAGATTAAAATGTGAAAAGATGGCTCATAGCCATTGGAAAGTGCCATCTATTGCAAATTGGTTTCCAGTTTCAGAAATACTAGCTGGGAAAATACGCACAGAGTAGAAGATTATTTAATATGATAGTGTAGATTTTGCCTTTCTTCTTTTCAAACATACCTTGATGCTCTTTCTATCTTAGCACATAAGGACTCTCTCACACTATTCATACCAGCATAGTTTTCTGTTATAAGAAGATAGCAATTTAAATACTTAATGATAATGTTTAGATACCTCTAGTACAAGCATTGAAGGAGCTCTGGTGGCTCAGTGCCTAAGGCATTTGACTGCTAACCAGAAGGTTGGGGGTTCAAACCCACCAGCTGCTCCACAGAGAGAAGATGGGGTGATTTACTTCCATAAAGATTTACCACCTCCGAAACCGAGTGGGGGTCACAGTGAGTTGGAATCGACTCAATGGCAGTGAGTTTGGTTTTTTGTTTGTTTGTTTGGAGTACACAGTGCTACATTCATCATGTTATATGTGCCTTTTGTTTGCTTGTAGGAATATATGTGTATTATTACTTGATGTAGCTTCCTCAGGTCAAATGGTGTATGTTCTTTATTTTTGTTTGTCCCATTTGTTTTAAATGAAATCAGTATTCATAGTATTCTGAAACATGATTTTCCCGACTTATATTGTAGATATATTTGCAAGTCCATACATATGGTTCTGTCTCATTCTTTTAATTCATTAATTAAAAAAAAAAAAAAAACAGGTAATCAATTTACATAGTTCAAAATTCAAGAAGTGCAGTGGGCATTCACCATCCACTTTGCATCCTCAGAAGCAACCAGTTTTCTTTTGTATGTTCTTCCAAAGCTGTGTTAGACATATATAAGCAAGACTTACATACACATTCTTCTTTTCCTCACAAATCATACAAATGGCTAAATGTATATATTTTTATACAGGATTGCTAAATTCAATCTAAAGAAAGCATTAAGAGTTGCTTTTTATTTGTTTATATGTATTTCCCTTAGCATATTTTTCCTTTTAGTTATTAGATACTAAAAATTTTGAGATTGGTTTTTCTGCAGTATTTGAATTCTGTGTTAATATCCATATAATTTCAAATGATTACCTAATTTATGTCTAAACTGTTACAGATACATTGTTGTCATCTCTTTCTTCATTAGGATGTTGTACCTCAGGCTTTACTAGATCAGTATTTATCTATGACTGATCCCTCTCGTGCACAGACAGTTGACACTGAAATTGCTAAGCACTGTGCTTATAGCCTTCCTGGTGTGGCCCTCACGCTGGGCCGGCAGAATTGGCACTGTCTGAGAGAGACTTATGAGACTCTGGCTTCAGACATGCAGGTGAGTAAAGCAGTTAAAGAATTAGCAAGTGCTTACTTACAGAAGTCACAGTGTTTTGTTTTGTTTTTTATTGTGGTTTGGGTGAAGCACAATGTTTTTGCCTTCTAAAATTTACTGGAATTTCACTTGATGCTCTAGCATGGACTTGGTGTTAAAGAAAATTGGGTAAGGACGAGCTTAAAAGTAATACCAGTGGACCCCCCCCCCCCTTTTTTTCTTTTCCTTCCATTTTTTCAGTTGGATCTTCACAGTTAGACTTTAAGCTTTTTATAAAGTGTTAGTAATTGTCATCACATTGTCAACATGCCAAATTTCTAACTTACATATGTGTTACTGTTCTAAAGTTTATTAGATTAATTCTTGAGAATATATGGTTTAATTCTCCCACTGGAAACAATATTTAAAATGCTTATTAGACTCTTACACTAGATCTCAAATGGTTTTTTAAAACCTTAGTAGAATATGATGGGATTATTAGTTCTGGGCCTTGAATGCAATGAACATTGGAGGACAGGTGGGAGAAGTTTGCAGTGTTTATTCTCTTTCCTGTCCCCGTACCACTTACCCTTCACTCACCCCAGAAGAAAACAAAATATAATATGTTTACCTAGGTAATTTTATCTTGATATCCTGTGACTTTTATTTGGCTTTCTTCCTAGGTTTTGGTGGCTTAACCTCTACTGTTCGGTCTAGTTTCTCCTATATTCTAAAATTTACCCCCCCTACACACCCCCAGCAAAATAATAATTATAATAAATAGATAAATAAATAAATGTTACCTTAATCTCCTAGTTACTAAGAAAGCAGTCTGAATAGACTGATTTGTACTGAAGCATGGATGATTGGTTGATTTTCCATTAAATTGCTTACTGATGTGTTTTTAAAGGAATTAGTACCTTGACTCAGCAAGTTAGAAGTTGGAAATAATCTTACAAGAGCATATAATTTAAATTCCTCCTCTGACCCTTGAGATTACGTAGCTGGTGCCCAGGTGAAGTGACCTCATGTGTTCACACAGTTATTAAGTGGTACATTTGGGAATAGAACCACAAAGGACCAATTGCCATAGAGTACTTTATCCCTGAATATCAGTGCTTTGCAGTCTTGATTCCACGTAGCTCTGAGGGGTTCCTGTGGGATGCCTTGGAGTCACTGGGAAGGCTGTGAATGAGATTCTATGCATTCTTTGCCTCCCTACCCTCCATCAGAGCATCTCTGTTTTCGTATGTTTTATATGTTGAACTTTAATACAAAATTTTATTTGTAGATTGGGTTCTGGTATTGGGGATAAAATAACACTTTTGCTCTAATTCGCAGGGTAAAGTTTTAGGCCAAGTAAACAATGTAAAAATTTTTTAATTCATGTAATGTGGAGAAAAAAATGTTTTTAACTTAAAAGGTACTTAAATACACAAGATGTTTCTGTTTAACAGTTCTTTCCAGGGTTGTAAGCAAAAGCGTTTCCTATTCCTATAATTTCTTAAATTGCTAATTCCTTGGAAACAAGTTTGTTCTTGTTACTGAATGCAAGGTAGACTACAGGAATCTGAAGAGGAACAGGAAAGTGGGAATGGTTCCAGCTAGCCTTTGGTATGTGTGGAACATCTATAATTGTGCAGAGAACTACAAAAGCTGTGTTATTAGTGATTTCCAAGCATTTTTTTTCCTTCATAAATGCAAGGGAGATAACATGTACTTTTAGGGCTTTAAATTTTTTTGTCAAGTTTTGATACATGGTAAACCTTCAAAATTTGGTGTCTGTTATCACTGTTATTACTTGTGTTCTGATTTAATTTTTGAGATCATTAGCGTTCAGGTATAAATTAAGTTTCATATATAGTGTAACGTTAAAATACAGTTTGTGTTTAGATTACTAATGCAGTTGTTTTTATTTTTCCAGTGGAAAGTTCGTAGAACTTTAGCGTTCTCCATCCATGAACTTGCGATTATTCTTGGAGATCAGCTTACAGCTGCAGATCTGGTTCCAATTTTTAATGGATTTTTAAAAGACCTTGATGAAGTTAGGATAGGTGTCCTGAAACATTTGCATGATTTTCTGAAGGTAATTTTAAAAAAATGTTTTTGCATAAAAACATACTGATATTTCCACTGAATCAAATTTTGATTTTCTGCTATCACCAGGATAGCATCACTTCTGAAGTTCTTTGTAAGAAAACGAGGAGCCCTTGTGGCACCATTGGTTAAATGTTCTGCTGCTAACTGAACTCATCAGCCACTCCGCAGCAGAACAATTACAGCCTTGGAAACCCTATGGGGCAGTTGTACTCTGTCTTCCAGGGTTATTATGAGTCAGAATCAATTTGACAGCAACGATTTTTTTATATAAGAAAATATAACCATGAGCTGATGGTGAGATGTGACTCAAAAGAAGAAATAGTCCCATTCTGATCGTTTTGCTGTTGTCATTTTAACTTTAAAATAGTAAAAAGCGAATTTCATTTTTAAATTATGTTAGATAATGGTTACAAACATGCCTTTTTTATTTTTTAAATTCTTGAATAAAGTATATGTAAAAAAAAAAGATGAATGAACCTTAAGCTTGGAGGCTTTATTTGTGTTTCAGGAGTCAGAGAATTGACCTTTAGCCTCATTCCTTTCATGTGGAATCACCGAAAGTGAACCACCCTGATTTTTTGCATATTTTTTCATCCTGAGCATACTACTATTTCTTACGTATTAGCCTTGAAATTGGCATTCTCACACATAGTTCTGAATTATGAGTTATAAAAGTGGTTATAATCCTACCCAAAAGTAAATTTTACTAAAAAATATTGATACCTTATTATTATGAGTTACATACATTAGGAAGAAATTTCTTTGAGGCTTACTTTCTCCTTTCCCTGCCTCAAACCTGAAATCACTTCTTGGAGACCCCTGATCCCTTTTGGTGGAAAATGGTACTTAAAAACGAAGATCTGGGTACTACACGTGCTTGTTGCAATCTACTGGGGCTTTTTTGTTTTATTTTAGGCTATTTTCAATGCATCAGTGCTGGGAGATTTTATCTTTTAAATTAGCGAGTCTGTATCAGTAGCGCCACTTTCAATCTAATACTATTTCCTCTCCTTTGTTCAGTTCACATTTCTTTCTTTGCTCTTGCACAGTAATAAAAACCCAGTTTCCAACAACATTAATGTATTTATTCATTTGTTTAGTTCTATGATGTATATGAAATAGTTTCAGAATTACTCCCCCAGTACTAATGCTGATCAAATCAACTCATGCTTAAGATTTTTTCTTGTTGTTTAACACTTTCTCTCCTTAGAATACACTCTATGAAGATGTATGATCACAGTACTAAGTAAAAAACAGCCTTTCCCCCTTTCTGTGATTGTGTTACCTATTTGATGTACAATTAGGTTTCTTTGTTTCTGTTTATATCAAAATACACGTTTTTTCCCATTTTGATTATAAATCTACTTTTACCTAAGTGGAGTAAATTTCTTTATATTTTTTTCACTCAGTAAATACTTATTAAATACTTGTATGTGCCAGTCAGAGTGTCATTCACTGAGCCTGAGTATATAAATATAACAGCATAATCTGTCTTCAGAGTTCGTGGCCGGACCTAGGGCCATGGTCTATTGGGACAGCTGGGTCAACTGGCATTATTTATTTATTTAATATTTTACTATGTTTAGGATGAAAGATTACACATCAAATTAGGTTCCCATTTAACAACTTTTACACAGATTATTCAGTGATACTGGTTACATTTTTCACAGTATGTCATCATTCCCATTCATTCCATCCTGCTGCTACTATTTATAGTACTCTAGTTTCTCTGCCCTCTTACCTTCTCATCTTTACGTTAAAGTAACTTTTGACTATTTGGTCTCATAAGGATGATTTTTTTAAAAGAGCTCATTAGCTCATAGGTGATAGTGGTATTGGTCTCTGTTTGTCTGGCACAAAAGAGAAAGAAGGAAACCGAGGAACAGAAGGAACTGGACTATAGGACTAATTGTCTGTATGAACCATTGACTCCTTCCTCTTTGAAACCAGAACTAGATGGTGTCCAACTACCACTACTGAACGTTCTTATTGGGGACATCCTGATAAAAAGGGAGAAAAAATGTGTAGCAGAACTTTATATTCTTAAAGAATCCAGACTTACTGGACCTGTTGAGACTGGAAGAGTCCCCAAAGACCAGGGCCCTGAGTTGCTCTCCAAACCTTGAATTGGAACCACCCCCAGAAGTCACCTCTAAGTAACAGTTTAGCCCCAAGAGTAAAGATTGTCACCCTTGAATATTGAGGATTTTTTTTTTAATTAAATAAGACACCAAAGGGACAACAGCTATTTTAAAGCAAAAATGAGAAGGCTGGGAGTGCATAGAGTTTAAGTAAATGGAAATTAAACAGCAAAAACAGGAATAAGGAGAATGTTGACACAATGTGAAGAATATAACCCGTGTTCCTGATAATTATGGCTAGGAACTGTTGAATGGAAGTGGGTTTTACTATGTATATTTCCACCAAAAGTGAAATTAAATACTTAAAAAGAAAAATGTTTACAGTAATGAGAATATCCTAAGAGTAAAATGGTTTTAGTACTGTAATGAAGCTACACCCAAGGTATGGTACGGTACAGTTCAGTGAAGGTCACCAACAGGCTCAGAGGACAAAGATTTCAAAAGATGATGATGAGTCTTGATACCAAATAGGAATTGTTCAGGGAAAAATGAACTTAATACTAATTTTTTAAATGATTAAATATGGGTACTATCGCTTCTCCTTCAGACAGAATAACCATTTTACATAATGTCCATTTAGAAACAGCCTAGTAAAAGAATTAATGTTTATTTATACCTTATTTTTGTAAATATTTTATATTTTATTTCTTCAGCTTCTTCATATTGATAAAAGAAGAGAATATCTTTACCAGCTTCAAGAGTTTTTGGTGACAGATAATAGTAGAAATTGGCGCTTTCGAGCTGAACTGGCTGAGTAAGTTCTAATAGTTCGTTAGGTTATGTTTTGGAGAGATTTGTATTTACTTCATTTTTATCCTTTTCAGGTTTCTTCCTTTATGTACATTCAAATTTCTGTTAGATAGCCTATTCCTTTAACTTTCCTTATAAAACTGATCTGCTGGCCACGACTGGTAATGTATACATACCCTAAAACATACTATTAGTGATATTTAATGCATTCACAGTGTTTTCATCACCTCAAAAGGAGAACCTGTTCCCATTAAGCAGTCACTCTCCATTTCTCCCTTCTCCCTAGTCCCTGGCAACCAGTAAGCTGCTTTTTGTGTCTATAGAATTGCCTCTTCTAGATATTTCATATAATTGAAATCATACAATCATACTTTTGTGTCTAGCTATTTCCTATTTAGCATATTACTTTCAAGGTTTATTAGTACTTATATTACTATATAATATATTAGTAATTATTGTTAATATATAATAGTATATATTAGTCCTTAGCTTATTTTAAAATTGAGTTGTTTTGTCTTTTTGTTACTGAGTTGAATGAGTTCTTTATAGATTCTAGATTCCATTTTCATTTTTATAAGCTATTTTTGCTGGTTATATAATTTGCAGTTGACTGTTTTGGAGAACTTTAAAGTTTTCATTCCGTTGAGTTGCACAGCTTGCCCAGCCTTTGACAAGAGATTCGTATCATTGACCTTTTTACATGTCGTGTATCTTTCCCTCTGGCTTCTTTCAAGATTTTCTCTTTTTCTTTGATTTTCAGCAGTATGACTAGAATGTATGTGTGTCTAGATGGTTTTGTTTGTGTTTAGTATTATTGTTTTTTGTTTCTGTGGTGTTAAACCTGCTTGAGGTTCTTTGAGTTTCTTAGCTCTGTGTTTGATGTCTTTCATTGTTTTTTTTAAAAAATCCTGGGCTAATTATCTTTTCAGATATTTCTGCCATGTAATTCTTTCTCTTCCTTTTGAACTCCAGTTACATGTGTGAGAGATCATTTGATATTGTTCCACACCTTTTACATACTATGCTAGAGGTTTTTTTTTTTATTTATTTTATTTTTAAGCCCTTTTGTTTTTGTATTCTTATTTTGGCTAATTTATCTTGACCTTTTTTCGTGTTAGGAGCCTTGGTGACATAGAGATTAAGTGCTCAGCTGCTAACTTGAAAGGTCTGCCATTCGAACCTACCAGCCATTCCAGAGGAGACAGATACGTCATTCTTTGTCCAATATAGCAGCTTTGGACACCTTGTGGGTCAGTTCTGTGCTGTCCTTCAGGGTCACTATGAGTTAGACTTGATTTTGGCAATGGGTATGGTTTGATTTGTTTTGGGCTATTTTCACGTATACTAATTATTTCTTTTACCCTGTCCAGTCTCCTGATGCACCTGTGAAAGGAATTCTTCAGCTCTGATAACATTTTTTTTTTAGCATTTCCATTTGACTCTTTATCATAATTTCTGCTGAAATTCAGTCTACTGAAGTATCCATTTATTCATGCTATTTTTCTTTTAGGAGCTCTGGTAGCATAGTGGCTAAAGCACTTGACTGCTAACCAGAAGGCTGGCGGTTCAAATCCACCAGCCACTCCTCGGAAGGAAGGTTGGGCAATCCTACTTCCGTAGTGACACTGCCTCGGAAACCCAAGGAGGGGTCGCTATGGGTCTGGGCTGACTCGACAGCACATAACAAAAATTTTTCTTTTACAGAAAAAGATTTTTCAACAATTTTTTTTTTTTAAGCCCTAATTTATTAGTTCTAATATCTAGGTCATCTCTGAGTCTAATTCATTTGTTTGCTTTGTCTCTGGACAGTAGAGGTATTTTTTTTTTTTTTCTTTTTGATGTGACTCCTAATTTTGATGAATGCCAGATAAGATGTGTAGAAAGTAGAGACTGTGTTAAATATTAAGTACTCATGGTTGTAAATGGGCATGCCTTCTCTTCTGCTATTAGTGTGGAAGGTTCAATCAGTCTGGCCAGAACTCAAGGCTCTGGGTTTTGTTACTGCTGTGGTTACTTTCTGTGCACCACAGGCTTTAATTTTTCTAGTGGTGGGCTACCATTGCCTTTTGCTGAGTGTGGGGGCTTAGGGTGCTGGTAAGGTTTTCCCAATGTCCATATTCCATCCTCACCTTTCAGCATTTCTTACACTGCTCTGTCACAGTAGAGTCTCTTGCCCTTTCCCTAGCTGTAGACTAGTGGTAGGCTCCTGTTGAGGGAAGGATGATTCTCTATAATCTTGGTTCAGCTTCAGTCTTTGGGAGGGCCTGTGCACCTGGGCTTTCTCAGAGTTCCTGCCCTCTCCCTATGGCGTCCAATCTCTGCCTTCTATCTGTGGTTAGTCTTGGGCAGGATTTCCTGTCCCTTTCCCAGCTGTAGACTTTTGGCTGATTATGTAGGAACTTGCCTCAAGAAGGTTTCCTTCCCACCCCACCCATCCTGAATAAAGAATATTTTCATCTGTGCTTCCCCCAAGCACAATATGTCTTTCCTCGTGCCAGTGGGATGGTGGGCTGTGCTGCCCCTCCACCAGTGGCCTAAAGGTTTTTACTTTGCGTAAGACAGGAGCCCAGGGAAATGCACAGTATTTCATGCCTGCCTGCCAGAGGACTGCTTTCTGGTTTCCAGTCCTGACTCCATATTTTCTTGTGAGAACCCAATGGAGGTTGATGGGAAAGAGTTTACAAATGACTCTCTGGAGCCCCCAGCTATTCCATACTGCTGTGCTAGCCCCCACTTGACCTTTGGTTCATTTCTTGTCATCTTGTGTGGTGGCCAGTGCCTCTTCTGCCCATGTTCTGCAGTAGGTGAGTCAGTCATATGTCACATCTCTCCTTGGAGAGGGGCTTGTTCCACTTTGAAAATTAAGATTTTTCTGTGTTTTGCAATCTCAACTCTCTTGTGAGCTCAAGAAACATTTGGTAGTTTATCTAGCTTTTTTTCGTTGTTAAGGTCAGAATGCCATCTTTGTAATTTCCTGAATCCCAAGCAGAAATTGAAGTCTTATTTGGGACTTTTGTTTTGAATTTGTATGTTAGAAAATAGAGTTGATAAATATGTCTCTCCCTTGTAAGTTTATGTTTATGAATACATATCTATCCCTATGTTTCCTGTATTCGTGTTTATGATTCACTCCCTGCTGATTAGAAATATCATATACATAAGATCTGAATTGCAAAAATCTGTCATATCCAGGTTTTTGAGCACATTGTGAGCAATTATTATGGAAAAAGTCATTTTGCAGTTGCACATACTAGAAGATACTTGCTCTGCTGCCATCCCTGTGGACCACCACATTTTCCTCACATCCTAAGGGGAAGGAAATACTCTCTGAACTTGCATAGTGTTTAAATGGCATTTCCAAATTAACAGAGATTAGCATTCTGTGCATAAAAGACCTGTTTTTTTTTTCTTTTAATTTTTATTGTATTTTTTATAATTTGTTTTTGTAGACAGCTGATTTTACTTCTAGAATTATACAGCCCCAGAGATGTGTATGACTACTTACGTCCCATTGCTCTAAATCTCTGTGCAGATAAAGTTTCTTCTGTTCGTTGGATTTCCTACAAGTTGGTATGTATTAAACTTTTTAAATTTTAGATCAGCAAAACTGTAATATTCTACAGTGGAAGCTATTTCTCAATTCTCCATTTTAACACTCCTAGGTTAGTGAGATGGTGAAGAAACTGTACATGATGACACCCCCAACATTTGGAGTCGACCTCATAAATGAGCTGGTAGAAAATTTTGGTCGATGTCCCAAATGGTCTGGTCGACAAGCCTTTGTCTTTGTCTGCCAGGTAAGCAAGACACTAGATTCACCTTTTTCTCACCAGTTTCTCCCCTCAAACTGTTGTTTTTTCTTTCACTTCCTGCCCCTCTCTCTCTCACACCCTCTTTCTTATCCTTAAAGACTAGAACTTTGGCATCTGGCTCTTTATAGGATCACCTACCTACTCCTTCAAAGTTGACTATCTGTCTCATTCTTCCTCTTGAGTTTTACCTGCCCCTTCCTTTATTCCTCTCAGTCAGCTGAGCTCTTTAGAAAACTGGTAATATACAGTAAGCATCCACTAGAGGGTGTTCAGTGTCTGGCCCATTGTGTAAAGGTGAAAGTGAAAGTGACTATGAAAACTGCAGGCCTCTGTGTAGCTGTTTCAAAAATATGTGTGTGAGAGAAGTTAATTATGTAATTTTTGTTTTTGAATTCCCAAGTACCTGAAAATAATGGTTTAAAAAGCAGTAACTCAGAAGGAAGATGGGGCAATCTACTTCCGTAGTGATACTGCCTCGGAAACCCAAGGAGGGGTCACTATGAGTCTGGTCCTACTCGACGGCACATAACAACTATTATTTGTAGCACTTAGGTTGTTACTGGGAGCTCTGGAAGCATAGTCCCTAAGGCATTTGAGTGCTAACCAGAAAGCTGGCGGTTCAAACCCACCAGCCAGTCCTCAGAAGAAAGATTGGGCAATCTACTTAGTGATACCACCTCGGAAATCAAAGGAGGGGTTACTATGAGTCGGATCTGACTCGGAAGCATATAGTTTGGTTTTTTGGAAGTTGTTACTAAAACATTTTGTTAATTAATATTTTAATAGCCTAACCTTGTAGACTGAATTTATGAAGAAATCTAAAGCGATTTTTTCTTTCACCAGACGGTCATTGAAGATGATTGTCTTCCCATGGACCAGTTTGCTGTGCATCTGATGCCACATTTGCTCACCTTAGCAAATGACAGGGTCCCAAATGTCAGAGTGCTGCTTGCAAAAACATTGCGACAAAGTCTGTTAGAAAAAGGTAAGGTAGGTGACTCTATTATAAAAAGTGTATGCAGAGGGGAGGTGAGATTCATAAACATCATTGAATAGATAAATGTCAAAGCAGAAAATAAGTATTTTCTTATGACTATAAAACCATATAAAGCCTTTGTAAGTGGCTTACCTGTCATGGGCCCTTGATGTGGAGGCTGGGAGGTATGTTGGTTTTCTTCTGCTCCTCTCCATGCATCAAAACCAAACCCCTTGCCACTGAGTCGATTCCAACTCATAGTGACCCTGTGGGACAGAGAAGAACTGCTCCATAGGGTTTCCAGGGCTGTAAATCTTTACAGAAGCAGAGTGCCACATCGTTCTCCTACTAGCAGCTGGTGCGTTTGAAATGTCAACCTTTCGATTAGAAGTGGAGCAGTTAACCACTGGCATCACCAGGGCTCCTTTGTGTTCATCAAGTGGAAGACATGCTTCATAGTGTTTGCTTTGATGCCAGTTATAAGCCCCTCACAATTTAGGTTTTATTTATTGTAATCCCCTCCCCTAAAATGCCTTACAATTCAATAGCAGACATTCAAGAATAAAAGTAAATTATTGTTGTTTCTTTTTCCTCCTTTGGGATTCATCTAAATTTTATTTAATAATAGTTATAATGAAATGGCTAAAGAAGATTATGGTTTGGTTTGAGAGAGAGAAAAAAGAGAGAGTGTGTGTGTATGGCAGAGAGGGGCTGTTTGGAGGTGTTTTTCCTTTTACTTAACTGATTAATACCTAACAAGTATAATGGCTTTGATACACTTTTTAGCTTAATACTGCTTAACAGCCTTTTAATATCATGAGATTTAGCCTGTCATAAATATAATCAAGATCTTCTAACTCTATATTTTGGAATTTTTTCATTTAACATGATTCGATTTGGAATACTGTTATCATTCAACATAGCTTGTTTACACCTGTAGCAAAATTGTGTTTTATAGTGACTCAGAAATTTTTATCCTTGATAAAAAGTATGAAGTGTTAGACTCATTTTATTTATATTCTGTACTTCTCATTTATAGAATATTTCTTAAATTCAGCCAGCTGTCATCAGGAAGCTGTGGAACAAACAATTATGGCTCTTCAGATGGATCGTGACAGTGATGTGAAATACTTTGCAAGCATTCATCCTGCCAACACCAGAATTGCTGAAGATGCCATGAGCACAGCTTCTTCTACTTACTAGAAAGCTTGACTCTCAATGTCTCTCCTGCTTACTAGAGAGCCGGGTTCTACAAGCGCTTCTCACATGTATGATCTGGGGCAGCCTTTCATGAAGGAGGAAAGACCTTCCTCTCTTACCAGACCTAATTGCAGGTGAAAGTCACCTACACCTGATACCAGGGATTTTAAGAGTCAAGAGAAAGTACAACAAACACTATTAATCTCATCTTGACTTTAGGGAAAATAATTTCTCAGAGGATTATAATTGTCACCGAAGCCTTAAATCCTTCCGTCTTCCTAACTGAGTGAAACTTGAATTGGCAGAGCATTTTCATTTTGGAAGGGATGAGATCCCCAGAAATCTGCATTTCTCCTGGCTTTATCTAACGACCTATAAATGGAGTGTTTTTAGGGCCAAAAGGCAGAGGGGAGCCGGGATGTGAGAGACCTGCAGTATCTGCTCTAAATGCTTTACCAGGCAAGGACATGTTTGGGTTCTGTGGCCTGCTGCCCAGCCCATCCCTACGTGTGAATAGTTTTTGATGTGTGTAAATGGGAAGAGGAGATTTTGTTTGATTTCTCCTAAGGGCTTGATGCTAACACTAAAGTAGAATCTGATTTTAACTCTTAAATGCAGCATATTGCTGTACACATTTACATAACTATGTACGTCCTGATGTTTTTTGTTTTTTGTTTTTTCATGCTGGTCATGATCTGAAGGAAATTTATTAGCACGTATACTGTATGTCAGGTATTTTTAACTTCATCATGATCAGCTCTGAGGTGCAGCTTTTTCTTCACATACTGTACATATCTGTGACCACTCTTGGGAGTGCTGCAGTCTTTAATCATGCTGTTTAAAACTGTTGTGGCACAAGTTCTCTTACTTGTCCAAATAAAATTTATTAATAAGATCTATATGGAAAGATATATACACTTTTGATTGTTTTCTAGATGTCTGCGAATAAATGCAATTTGTGACCTGTATTAATGATTTAGTATAAAATGGGGAAAACAAATTAAAATATTTGTCCTTTAAGTAGTTCAGTGGTTTTTTTGAAATCTGTCCATGTTCAAGTGGGCAGGTGTTTGGCTTTTGGCACACAGCAGAGGCACCACTCGGTGCCAGTCCCCCAGCCTCTGCTGTGGGGCCCCGTCAGGGGGAGTGTGAACAGAATACTTGTCTTGGGACCTTGACTGGGCCATCATCTGCAGACTGAGAGTGGAATCATTGATTCTGGGTTTGTGCTGAAGCTCTGAGATAAAGCAAAGCTTCACTGAGGCTTGATTTCTTCATCTTTAAAATGAGAAACAGTCAACCATTAGCCCTACCTCCCACCAAGTTTTGCAGAGAAATGAGGTGGAGGCACTTTTGTATATCTCTGTGTCTAAATGTTGGATGCTATTATAAGCCAGGCTGGAAAATCCTTGGCACATCTGCATCTATAATTTTTGGTTTTACTGAGCTGGCTAAGCCTTTGGGCTCGCAGTCAGTCAGTAAATTCTTTTGAACCCTGATAATATACCTGTCACCACTGGAGAAATAGATGAATAAATTGGCAGGTCTCGGGCAATGAATAAAACAGAAGGAGAGGAGGGTGGGAAAGGCTGGTGGTCACAGAAGGCATCTGAAAGTGGCATTAGAGCTGAGAAGGGAAAGCCTGGGGGCGTGGCTTGCTGACTTGACTTAGCCTGATTTGTGAGGTCTGTGTTCTCTGCTGTTGATTATAATACTCCTCTGCACTCCAAGAATTTCAGTTTAGTAAATTACATTAGGATCATCTACTAAGAACCCTGGTTTGTTTGTTTGTTTTTATAGCAGTAGTAATGATAACTTGTATTTTGGAACAAAGAACTTTTTAATTCAGGCTTAAGAGTATCTAGACCACCTGTAAAGTTAAAATGAACAGGCCAGTTCTTATACTCTGTAGATGTTATGCTCCTGTTTATTATACCAACAGACATCTTCAGACTCCCTGTTGGGTATTACAGTGCTCCCTACACTGAGCATTTTAGTTATCAATGATAGTGAATACAAGAAGGCAGCCACATTGTTTAATAGCATAATATAATGCAATGTAGTAATTCCCAGTTTGAGTAACCTCTAATGAAATTCAAAATATGAAAAAAAGGTTAGAATATCACCTCTTTAAATTTCAGCTGTTTATTTAGTAGTTACTTTGGTAATACTAAGGAGTTCTGGTGGCTTAGTGGTTAAAGTATATAGCTGCTAACCAAAAGGTCAGGAGTTTGAACCCACCAGCCCTGTGGGAGAAAGATAAGGCTGTCTGTTACCATAAAGATTTACAGCCTTGGAAACCCTGTGGGACAATTCTACTCTGTCCTATAGGGTTGACATGAATCAGAATCAACTTGATGGAAGTAGGTTTGTTTTGGTTAGATGGTAATACTGTGATAGTTGCCCTAATGAAAACTAGTTGAGGTGTGACTTCTGCTTTTTTCAGGCATGTTATGGGACAGCAGAAACAGAGCTGACCATGAGAAGCAGGGGTTGGACCCCTAAAGACAGCAAGGCTACTGGAACCAAGTGGTGGCCTCTCATGAGATGGATCAAAGGTAGAAAATTAGACCGCCAAAAGAAAGCAGTGTGAGACCAGCAAATGCAGCAGTTGCTTGGAAAACCCCCAGAAGGTGAAAACAAAAACAGCAAATCGATTAGTACTCAAACTTTTAATTTCACAATATACAAATGAATAAAAGTCATTATAATTATGTCCACTGCTAATCTTAGAAGATACTCAGGTGTCTCATCAGACTTTTAAATAAGGGTGAAGAGGAAAAATTAAAATAGCTCATGCCTTAGCCCGCGTACTTGCTTAATGCCAGGTTCTCCAGTCCCTTCTCCCTGTCCTCCGCCCCCTCCCCACACCCTGTGTCCTTGCAGCAAGGGGCCTTGCTTCCCAGTGCTGTGTAACTCATGGCTGTGGTACTGGACATGGTCTTTGCAGCCCTTCTGAGTCAGAGAAGTGTCTTTCTTTGAGTGTCTGTTACTGAGTGTGCTAACCCCAGGGAGCCAGACTTCTGATTGATCACTCAGAGCAGTTAGTGGGGTGAATATGACCCTTGTCCTGAAGACAGAGATGCTTCTGCAATGCCAGAAGTATTTGTAGTACTCACTCAGAATTGGCCAGTACCGTGTTCCTGAGACAACCTCCATGAATGACGGCACTGATGTCCCAGAGATGCCTAGACTTGCGCAGTCTGCTTGTGAAGCACCTGCCATAGGTGGCTGCAGTGTGCTGGGCAGTCAGTGCCTCTAAGCTCAGGAGGTGGCTGCAGTGCCACTTGTTGACCTGGCCTACTGGACGCTGAGTAGGACTGAAGGAAAGTGTCAGCAACCATATGCCCACGTGTCCCAGTGGCAGCTCAGGAAAGGCTGGGGCCAACGTTTGGGAGGCCAGGCATGAAAGTGACAGGCTGTAGGAAAAGCTGCTGCATCTCAGGCACTGGGAGGGAGGCAAGTGACTCCTTCCTTGTATGGTTATGTTTCTGTGCAAGAATCCGGAGAGTGAGGGGAGCAATGAGGGAAAGGAAAAGAAGGAAATTCCCAGCAACTCAAACCAAGCAAGTCACCTCTTAAAATTCCTCTGACTTAACGCCAGAGGAAAGTGAAATAATTGAGTCTGGAAATAAATGTGAAAAAGCAACACTTTGTGGTTTCTCTTGTCTTTTTAATTCTGCCCGAAGTTATAAACTGCCATCATGGTAGTCGTATGCTGTCAGGCAGGGCTGTGGGGAATGGTCAGGCCCTTGGTGGGAGCTGCCAAGGGCAACATCTGCTGGGGACCCGTCCTCCCTCCACGTCAGCGCCTGCATTTGATGACCCTGTAGATGGAACAGCACCCTGGAAGGATGGTGGCTGGGCCCCTCCTCATGGGTGTTTACAGTGGTCTTCAGATGGGCAGCCAGCATCTGCAGGACAGGGTCTAAGTAGAAACGCTGATCCTGTCTGAGGTGAAGGATGAGGAAGGCTGCCCACACTTCATCCTCCACCATCAACTCTAAACCAAACTCACTGCCGTCAAGTTGATTTGACACGTAGCAACCATTCCCTGGGTTTCTGAGGTGGTGTCTCTACGGAAGTAGATTGCCCAGTCTTCCTTCCGAGTAGTGGTGGCTGGTGGATATGAACTGCCAGCCTTTTGGTTAGCAGTCAGATGCCTTAAGCACTACGCCACCATCAACTCTAGATAAGGTAATTCTGTCTGTGAGTATGTGACCTCATAGAGGTTTTGGTTGGTTGTAAATTTAAACATCCAGCAGGGGTGCTCCCATGTGGGTGATAACTCCTGCAGGGGACACAGCTAGATGTACACCTTTGCATTTCATCCAGTTTTCAGTCATTATGTTTTATGGTGCAGCTGGAAGTTTATTTCTACCAAGTCTTAATTTTTATGAGTTTAAATTTTATAAGTATTGATACTTGCAGTTTCAATCAGTATTTTACCATAGGTATCTTTCACCCTTGTCAGTGTTATTTAATGTTAATACCAATAATTGTTATTAGTTGAATAAAAGACTGATATATTTTTAGATGTCATTTGAGAATATTGTGAGGGTTCTCACCAGGTGCTGAGTGAGCCTACTCAGTCTAGCGTCCTGCCTCTCATACCCACATACCACTTGGCCAAGAGTTGATGGTCAGCCAAGGTCTTGTGACTCGGCTTTCTCTGACACTGCCATGTTAGCCTCTCACTGAGAACTCAGCAGGAAATGTTTGAGGGAAGGAGGGACAGTCCATTAGCATGGGCAGTGTTTCACAGGGGCTGCTGGGTGGAAGAAGAGTGCACACAGGCAAAAGGGGCCCCAGACTTGGCATCTTGGGCTGCAAGGAAAGGGATGTCACGAGTGGGGACAGGAGTGCGTCTACCAGATAAAACCTGCCAACTACCTTCTTTTGGCCTTTCCTTGGGAGATTTTCTGGATTTTGCCTTTGTTTTTTGCCTTTTCAGCTCTGTAATGAAACGGTCATTTAGAATGGGACTCATGTTGGTGTGCGTTGCAATCTGGAGTGTTAAGATTCAGGTTCTGATTCAGGAGGTCCAGGATGGCACCTAAAAGCCAGCGTCCTTCACAGGAAAAACAGGGTGACATCTTTGAATAGCAAGATCTAGCTTGTTTTTTCACATTAGTTTTTCTAGATCTTATCTTTTCCAGATAAGCACTATTTTCAACATTTTTAAATATTTAAAATGTGTTTTATTTCCTCAGTTACTAATCAGTGCTTTAAAACTCATTAAGCGTCAAGCACGAGCACAGGGACAGCCACTCGGACCTCATGGGCCTATGTTATAGGGAGGCTGGCATGACCATCTGCTCATTGGTCTTTGGCAACCTCAGCGGTTACTGAGCTAGTGCCTGAGGCCCAATGCCTTGGAACAGCTTTTCTATAGGTGACTTGATCAAGCTGGGCTCAGGCGGGGCTGTTGACAGGGTGGCTCCCTTCCCCTGTGTTAGCTTGATACCCTTAGCACCTCATACATTCAATTTTGTCCTACATTTGATTGGATGCTCTTCTGTTTACCTCAAAATGATGTGTAAGCACTTTAGATCACAATGTGGAATCTTCTGTGGTATCACCAGCCTATTTACTAGTGGAGATACTGAGGTGGGTTGGCTACATGGAGCAAATAAAAACCCAAAAACCTAATTAAATATGAATTGCATAGCCATTTAATTCTCAGAACACTTTAGAATTAGGATTACTTTCACCATTTTACCAATGAGACAACTAAATGAAGTTCAACAAGATAAAATAGTTTATTGATGATAACAAAATAGAACAAAAATTCAGATTTTTCCTGCCTAAAACCCCCATTTTTTATAGAACATTGTATCATTATTCCAGAAGTCAGTGTTTAGTAGTAGAACCATGGACAGTACAATGCCAAGTAGCAGTAGTAACATGTTTTTAATCACATGAACTAACTGCTATGGAACAGATAAAAGATTACTGATGTCTGTTGGGGATAGGGTGGAAGTGTCACAGAATCATATTTGACCTGGACTTCTGAAAAC